CTATCAATTGACTGCATTTCAAGTTAAAATCCTAATGGAGATGAAACCCAGCACATTATCGATAAAGCGGGCCGAACACGCAGTAGGGATTACGAACTTAGCATGTGCCACTGTCCGGATTAAACATATTGTTGTCGCTGGGCCTGTGAACTTACTGACAACAGGGGTGAACTCATCATTCCTCTGTTCGCCAAATCACACGTAATCTATGAATTTCAATGTGTGCAGAACGGAGAGGCAGCTGTGCAGTCGAGTGGGTCGAACGCGAACGGATCAGATCGAGGGCTACATAAACAACCAACCCATCAAGCTAGCCGTACAGAACACCTGCATCATCAATTGCTCGCCGTCTGCTGCAGACTGGCCACCGAGCCGACCGCAGGACTTATTTTCGGGTTGGTTACACAACCTCAAATGAACGGTTGCTGAAATTTGCAGAGGTCATAGCAATCAAGAACCGAAAGCCCCTGTTCTTTCAGCAAAATAAGGTCTAAATCAGTCTGGCATTGCCCGGGCAACCACGTAAGCGGAAGACTGAATTGATACCATGTTAGATTATCAACATATGTGATATACAAAATGATTTGTATTTTGCAGTAAGCGCCAGTTGAGATGCAGCGAAATGATTCCGGAATTAAATCATGCCCGCTTGCAGTGTCGTGTTCTTTGTTCATGATATCAGGGTCTCGTTGTGTAAATCTCACCATCAGGGAGTCCCTTAATTCCCCCAAAATGGACAAATCAAAATCAGTGCGCATAGCAAGATATCTGTGAATTTAAACGTGGTTAATTAGCTCACGGGTAGGGTTTCGAATGTTCGCGATTAGAGGTTTGGAGGGATTTTGATGGGATGATGAGGCGCATCGGAAACCGAACAATTTTGTCAGCTATGACGCAGATAAGACGCATCTTATTATTTATTTTTTCAATAATTGAAATGATTCCCCTGAGCGTGATAAGCTCCGAACACGATTTCTGTGGAAAACGTTTATGAACTGGATGAAAGGGAGTGGGTTTCTGTATAAAAATAAAACCTTGAGAATCAAAAGACAAAAATGTTACAACGGCAAGCGTATTGCTGTGTTGATACGTCACTAACAGACTACAGAAGCTGGGTAAAGATTCTTTTGAAGGAACATTGGATCGTTTCTTCCACCGAAAGCTTATCAGACCGAGAAGATATGCGTATTGTTTGTAATGACCCAACATTATTGCACGTTGAACGATTACGGGAAGCACCTCAGGCATTTGGATAGTGAAAAATGGGGCCCACACAGAGAACACGATTCACAAACTTGGTGACCATACATTACTGTCAAGCGCTAGTAGAAACAGAACAGTAGTACGATGCTTCCACAGATCTTCAGTGGTGGTATACGTGATACAACTGGATAATGAAACCTTTTCCGACCAATTTCATCAAATAATAACCCAATAAGCAATAATTCAACCATTAACCTCTTATTTCATGTACAATGCAATCACTAAACATTGCCTAAAATCTGCTCAGTTTTACAAAAATCGTTAGTTTTATTCTGTGTGGCAATCACCACTGTTACGAAAAATGTCCACAGATGACATCACTGACGGTGATCGAAAAACTGTAACGATTGTTTGACAATCGAATCAAACGTACCATGTTGTACATCGCAGTAGTCCACGGTAAATCCTTCCATTTGCATAATTTCCAACGGATCTGATTTACGTTCCTTGTACGAGGCCATGATAAATGTGTACTGGGAGACCTAGGGACATAACACGGGTGCACAAATTTACCCAATAAAATTATACTGACGTCGATGGTACGTTTAGGATTAAGTGACAGGTTGTTCATGAATGAAAATTGCGAGTGTCATATGCCAAGAACTTCAAGGACGAAAGTGGAGTAACTTCAAAAAAGAGCTTTAAGCTTCATGTTGAGCAGCCGCCGACGTGTTTTGCACTGTTAACTAGTTCGATTCATGCCTAAAGTAGTCTCTCACTGTCGGATGAAGTATATGGAAAGTCCCACTAAATAGGAAGAGATGAGTATCCTTTGAACAATCACCAGTTTCTGCGCACTCGATAGATTATGCGGAGTGGTTACTAGGTTGGAATAGCAGCCCACTCTTACAGCTTTTAGTTTTTGATGGAATCAGTGACCGCGTGCCGCTGATGAAATAGATCTAAATAATAGTGAGCAGTATACTGATTCTCCCTGGTTTATCCATATGCAATTTACCTCACTGGTTCTGATCAAAACCGCACACAAATAACTTTCATCCATCAAACTTGTTTCCAAAGGTTAAGCATGTATTAAGCGATGATCGTCGGAAATTCATCTCAGCAGTATATTTCCAGTCGAACAAGTGTGTACTTTACCAACCATCCAGAGGATAGCCCTATAGACAAGCTTGAACCTGGTTGTCTGTCACATCCATTACAATAGGGCATTAAAAAGGCTTCCACATTCATGCACGCTGACACTGAGATTAAAAAGCTATCGACGACGTGTATCAGACTGCAGACAAGAAAAATAGAATAGCCTCAAAAAATAAAAAGAACATCTCCAAACTAACGGGTTGGATTAAGTGGAAAAGAGCTACAGTTTTTGAGTGACATGGACGATCAGAAAGATCCATATTCAGGGGCTATGCATGGTCATTGGGTGTTTTTATTTCACACTTTGCGCAAGCGATTCTGAGAAGACCACAAATTTCATCAACTAACACTTCGGGAATGATAATGGAGAGGTGAGAGATTTTTTTTAATTACAAAAAAGCAATAAATAAAGCGGGCTAATAAACTAAAAAATAGAAAACAACAAAACCATTATTAACTGGTGCCTCCAGGACCGACAGATTGATAAATTATAGTCTGAAAAGAGAATCACGAAACCACGTATTTTACTCAAAATGTTTACAGGCCCTAGTCCGACAACTGCGGTTAGATGAGCTGAAGTCATAATTGGTTGTGTATGTGGTAATATATCCGATAACTCGAAACTAGATAAGGTGTTCATCGGTGCAGGAGTAAGCGTGCACGAGCTTGCATCCAAATCATATGGAGTCAAGCGAAAATTTCCTTTCATACAGAGCAGTAAGTTTATGGCAGATGATACCGAAGAACAGATGAGTTAACAAACTTAACAGATAATCATCTGTGTTTCTCTTCGTTACAGTTGGGTCAAAATGTACAGACTACCATCGAAGAGGATAACTAAACAAACAGTATTGGCAATTCTAGTCAGACCCAGTGAGAGCTAAGTGGTAACAAACACACGCCTTCCTTCGAACGGGATGGTGAGTATACACTACTGATGGGTAAAACTTAAGTCCAGGGCTTCCCGACTGTATGCTTGACCTAACGAACTGATCAATATTCACGAAGGTAAGGTCTGAAGGATGTTCATTTCAAATCAATAGCTGAGTCAACGAAGTTGGAGAATGGGGCGCTCTGAATGCATTTGCAATGATTCCAAGTCAATCATCACCAGGTAACATCATCAGTAGGCATCAGTCCATTCTTGTGTAAATTTCAAACTGTATTAAATTACTTTTTCATCCCATTTTGGGTCCCAATGAAGGATATTTTCGTTTTTTTTAATTAATTGCTGTTCGTTCAAAGCATTCACCGGAATTTGGATTTGTTTTCATCTTAGATGAGGGAGGATTATCATTATTCTATTCAATATTGTTTTCTAAAGTGCGATTCCGGAAGAAACAAACTAGGACTTAAGCGGTGGATTATATATGAATGTGTTTTTAAGTTTTCTGGTGTGGGGAACAAGTGGAGCGTGAATTGCAAACCTGGGACGAACTGTACATCTGCTTTGATCTGTTTAGTTCTCATCAGCAGTGCCAATCCATGGAGCGCAAGCATACTACTTTGGTTGGGGAGATGGGTTGTCACTACTGATGAAATCCAATCGGGTTGAAACAGCTGTACAGTGTGCATCCTGACTTTCCAGTTCACGCTTCATTTGACATGAACACCACGCAATCCACTGATTGTAAAAGTCGAGTTCTTACCAAACGGGAACTGAATGTGGTGGAATGATCGAATTGATGACGCTGACATTGCATAAATGTGTGATGGAGTGGCAATTCAAATTATAAACAGTGTACGATATCTGTTTTCGGCATTATGAAGAGAAGTTTCCGGATTTTCCGGATTTGGAAGTAGTTTTGATTTTGGTTACATGGAAACACCGCTAATTTTTCCTCTATATATATCAAGGTGTCATTGGTACGTGTGCCCCTCAGTGTCCAACGTTTAAGCAATTGCGACGGCTCCCGACCTCAATGGAATTGCGCTCACCTGCTCGTGGTGCGTTTAGGTTGCATCTGACCATGCATAAATCGGTTCATGACCTCATTCATGTCTGCGTGTTATGAGTTGACCGTCGATTCACCGTGTTGTCGCTCTTTCTTCACGAACCCACTGAGGTCAATTATACTGCCGGGACTGTTCATTTTCATCACAAACACACTCGAACAATAGGAAAGGATACAATGTTGCAACAGGACAATTGGTCTAACCCCCTCCGGATACCTTTTTTGGTGCTCGGTAGTCCAATCAAAAAGTACTTTTGTTTGTTCGTGGGTGAACTGATCCATTCCGGGTAGACGGGAGTTGTCATAGACCCGGTGACGCGTGGCGATCGAAGCACCAATCGCATGACAGGTTTCTCAAATGAACGCGATTGGTGGGTTCGGTTGTCCGAATATACCAACATTACACAGTATAAGAACACTACGGTCGCGAATAAACTCGTTTGCGGGGATTCATCTATAGGCAATATATTGCAGGTTATTTGGTATGTTTGTGTAGAGGAGGGGGGGAGGAGAAACAATAATAAACCTGGAAGAAAAAAAACAATGAACATTTCAGTTCCATGATCGGATGTTATTCACACTTTGACTATCAGACTTACGTACTGATTCGGGTCATTAGGGACTGGTGGGGGATGACTGTTTCGTGTGTTACGTTGACCAGTAAGGTCAAGTGTTCTTACAAATAGTTTTTAGGAGCAGACGGGAGGGGATGGATCGCTTTCGCTGTGGTCAAAATGCGACTCCTAATCACCTTAGGTTGACGATTGCAAACCAACTAGATTCAATAGAATTTATAACGAATTTATTGGACATCGAGAGTATGAGGGTGTTAGAGGAATAAGCAATTTTCAATTTTACCATACTACCGTCTGAAGTTCATCGCCCCAGAGGATTTAACTACTGTACACATTCCATTTGCTTTTGTTTTTGCTTTACTAAATTGGCGGTTGAAATCATGAACCCCGGATCACTCTAATCGTGATCCTAATGGCTTAACCACCGATGCCAAGATGTATAAATATATAAAATGGAAATGCTTTTCCTCGAAGCTGGACATCAGATGTCTGAAAGCACTTGATATACCGAGTCAATGATAAATACGTTTCCTTCGATTCACTTGTCAAATGAGTTGTATATATATATATATATAAGTGGATTCAGTAGGTGAGCGTGCAGGTAAAAAGATGAATGTGTTCCTCGATTTCCGTCCGGAGTTTTCGTAGAATTGTTTGAGAAACGTTCGGATGATTGCCCCCTCCTCTGTGTGGATACGCTTCAGTTTTACTTGTAATTTCAACTGGATTCAAGCGAGAAGTTTGCTTGGATGACAATGTACGGAAGCATCAAGTAAAACGCTCAAAAGCACGGAGTCAAACAATGATCATCCTCCGGAGCCTTTGAGCCTCGAACATCCAGGGTTGGTTTATTTCTATAGTCAGTGTGTGCGATTGAAGCATGTCAAGAACAAGTGAAACAGTTCAATAGGTTTTGTCGAAATATCTGTCTCCAGAAAAGAAAACCAGAGTGCTCCCGGTGATTATAAAGACATTTTGCACCGTTAGTTATGAGCGAATGTTTTCTGATAATATTCAGACCGTTTCTACAGTACTGAATGACTGCAGCTAGAGATGCGAAGGATGGTATTCCTGATGTTCTCTAAGCTGAAAATGTTACTTGCAGGTATTTCATAGCCATGCTAGATTAAATCATCAGTGAAACTTCGAAGAAACACTGCTGATTACATTGTATCCGAAAACAGCATTTCCAGTTAGGAGAATCATCTAACACTAAAAAACCAATTTTAAGAGAACAAAATTCTAAGAATAAATCTGCAATTAGAGTGCTCCATTTGAATGTTCGTGGTCTATCTGTAGATCCGTATATTTACTCAGTCAGTGAGTCCCGATATAGATATCTAAGCTACTTTCAATAGATTCCGGATGGTCAGAGGATTTGACAGATCTCAATTAATGCAAAAAACTGATCCCTAGCGGTGGTCTGTATTGATCTCTTTCAAACTTCACTTAAACTATGCGAGGTTGAGAATGCTGATAAACGTTTGTCAGTATCAACAGTTGGCGTACACAAATTCCCCCAAAACAACCAAGAGAACATTGTGACGGGGTTGTCAATGGTGAATTGCTGAGCAAATGTGATGAGTAATCAATTCTAATTCCAACAATGGTCTCTGTACTGGATGTCCAAATGATGTCCCTTTGGTGTTCCAAACAATCCAACTGAAACAGTAATATAAAATGTCCAAAGCAAAGAGAAAAAAGACGTTGAACACATTTCATTCTGGGCACTGATTACTTGTATTTTATCTAAATTAGTGCAACTGTAAAAGGACTTGATACCGGGTCTCACGAATACACTTTTGCGATGAAATTTACAACACACGTGGTGTTAATGCACTAGTGCACATGGTGACCTGAAACAACCCTTCTGTCGGCACTCTTTGATGTCAAAAGTATTTTCAATTAAATTTTCACCGTATGATCTTTGTACGTCTTTTCTGTATCAATGATTGTGCCACTTTCCTATTGAGATCCAGTTAAACATCCAGGATTGAGTAATCAGCAAATAATGACTTTTCTCGCATGCCTCACCCGATAGTTCCACTCGGACTACCCTGCTCTGCATTCAGTTGGGGATTAAAGATCAATATATTTTGTCATATTAGAGAACGGCATTGTCTAATTATCCCCGATAATAGGGGCAGCACACTGGTCTCCGAACAAGAACTGGTTATTAGTGCTCCCATGCCATTGGCTGACGAAACAAACGATAATCAAATACAGATTAGCGAAGCAGTGGATACCCGCAAAGCCTGGTTGATCATGTTCGATCCGATAGCAATGAACTGGTATCATTTACACAATGTAGATGCTGCCTAACATGAACTTGTACTATAACTTATCTTATCCGGTTCGTATACGGTTTTTCGATCTTTGGTACAAAGTAAATAAGATCAATAATGGGGACGTAATGGTAGTGATATGGACATGAGTGATAAGAAACGTGTAATACGTGAGGTTCACTACCCAATCACCTCCGTCGAGCAGTACCGGGAGGGGGACAGAAATACTGTATCATTCTCATGTGCACAGCGACGAATATTGATTTGGCGGACAGTAGGACGGACGAGGGAAGCCCCATCCGACTTACCCGTTCTACTATTTCAGTTTTGAGCTCTATTATACACATGTGAGAATCAGATCACGCAATATGAAGGGATTTTTAAAAACGTGGAGCATTCTTGTTAGTCTTTCAATTTTAAATAAAATTGACATTTACTACGCAGTAATGATGTCCATAGATATGTCTGACTGATCCGTTAACCCACGATGAAAGTGATTTGGGGCCAATAACAAACAAAACACACAGAGACCAGAAAACTTCCCATTTTTACCTGCGTGACCCTTTGAACAGTGCATGGCTGGCTGGTTCTTTAGTAAACTGTAAACTGAAACATGAACAAATCTTGCACTCGGTGGGGAGAATAACTCACTTGGATCAGGCACACATAACGACGCTTCCATTTTTTGAACGCTGTTCGGCCCAGCGCATACAGATGTCCACAGTATTTCAAATTGGATGGTTTGTCCATACGAACGGTTAGTTGCAGTTCCAGTTTATCCGGTACACTTTTGGCCGTTTGCAGCTTGTACCACTCTGCTTGCCTCATACCCATACAGGTTGGATTGAGTATTACCTGGGGTAAATGGATGGTAATAGTATTAGTATTAGTAGTAGTAGTAGTAGTAGTAGTAAAGGGTCAAGTCGGGACGGTTGTGGCACAAACCAAATGCGATAATTGTTTCAAGTGAACCATAAAAGACATCATTCACCGTTGTGAAGTGGATCTTTCCATTCAATAGAAACGGGTTGCCCTCGTGTGACCGCTTGTGTTACATACGCATTATATCACAAGTGTGAGGGAGAGTAGAGGGAATTTGGCGACCAGATACTTTGCACGTTGAATTACCCACCATGAAATAGTTGTAATTAACATTGGAATGCCATCAATCTTGATAATTTTGGCCTGTTCAGAAAGGTAATTTTTCACTCGCACACGAGTTGTGAACTGAAAGGCAACCAATCCAGTCCGTCAACGAACTAAATACCAAACTTACCCCGACTTTCTCCGTCCTGTGCTCACCTTACCCATAAAAACACGCGAATTCCTTGAGTGTTAAATGATAACTTATCTTTGACATCTAGATGATTTTCACGACTCCGAAACCTAGCAATTAACAGTTTTCCTATAATTTCCCAGACGAAAAGAACCAAAAGACTGCTCTCATCCTAAGAATACCACCAACTAACGATTTACCGTGTGCCTTTGATGAAACTGGCCAACATAGAATCTACCAATATTTCTCACAAACTTTTTTTCATGAAAAGAATGGCCCGGATAAATTCGATTGCAAAAATTGTTTAAAGAACCTACTGAAATTTAGATGTCGAATATTCGGATTAGCCCGGTCATTTTTTTCACAGGCACCAGGCACTCTTGATGAATTCGGGTGAAGGTTTCACTCCTTGGGAGTTCGTAAATTTCCCACTATTTGAATGCATTTAAATGCGGTGGAAATGTTTATGATGATCGACAAAGTGCACTGGACAGCTGTTCCGTCCAATCGGGGACTCGTCAGCACTGCGTACTGTCAAGACTCGAACTGTTTGCACAAGGCGGTTCGGGTCCTGACAGGGACACGAAAATTATGCACCACTGACGAGTACGAAACAGGACGGAACAACTGTCCAGTGCCCTTTTTTCGCTTATCACAAATATTTCCGCCGCATTTGAACCTACTGAAACGTTTCACCATCGAAATTTTCTACTTCTGATTTCCCAGCGGGATGCCTTTTACTATACCAATGTCCGGATCTCAAACGAGTAATATAATTTACCCTCTTCCTATGTTCTTTATCGACTCATAGGCTGTGATTGCGTTTTGTCATTGATCTTCTATTCCTGTCGTTGTAAACCATTCACTTAGAAGATTCTGGGGTCTATTTTACTTTCTCTCGTCATCTACTTTTAGTCTGGATGTAGCCCACTGCACTTGTTGTGCCTACACTAAGTATTACTTTATTAGTGACCTGAACTTCAGATATCCCCAGGCCAGTCAGGAAATACACATGCATCTCTTCACTTTGCTTTTCAGAAGTATCTTCCATGGCTTTTGGGTGTATGAATAGCTAGCTAATATACATGCTCTAATACACTATGGCAGAAATACCGTTATTGTCTTTGCTATTTCCTTCAAATTGGCAAAATAAGATCGGTTACCTCCTGATCACTTTATTCCAACAAATAAATACAATTATTATATGTTTAAAATATGTCACATGATCACGTGATTAACCATTTGGCAAATTGGAATTCTTAAGTGATTAACGAGGCCAGATGCATCTGAGCTTATTCACTTCCTGAAAAATAACTTCAACATACAGACCTCAGGGCACAGAACAATTCAATGGAAATTCTTTCATGTTTCTCACAATTGTTGAGAATAAGTCAAACAGTGCTCGGAGAAAAACAACATCAAGGGTTATAGGACATGCTCATCAAACTATCTTCACCCATCCTCATAGCACACATCTCGTGCACTTTATCCACAATAGCCATTGGCCATTCCCTTTAAGCGGGATAGAAGACGAATGGTTCAGGTCAGCTCTCGTTAAGCTCACTTGACCCACATTCGATTCGAAACAATGAATCGCTTCGAGTAGTGGAGTTCTATCCCCTATCTTGCACCTGTTGTAGATATATGTTTGGAGTGATCTACATTACTCTCGAAACAAAATCGCCTTAAGCCCTTTGGTTTTCTTTTTGATATCGCACCTGAATGCCGGTCAATCCAGATAGTGCTGATTACCTTGGTACGCTCCACCAGAAGCGCGATCTGTTTGGAGAACCGGTTGTTTGTGGCGAGAGATTCGAAAAAATGTGGAGTGGATCGAAACAAACACTGTGCGGTCAAAGAGTGCAAATCCATGTATATATATATATATACATATAAACACAATCAAAAGTTGCAGACCAATTACCGTATCATTCATGCAGCCAATGCACTTTAATCGGTTAGGACATCATCACTTGATTCGAAATGTTGAATCAGAACATTGATGTAGTAAATGTCCTCTCAGTAAACGAAACATAACTGTGTTATGTTTGTTTGATTGTTGAAAAAAACAAGTAGGGTGAACTCCAAAGCTTCGCTGTCACCCATATCAATTCCAAGTATATTCTACTGAGGCCTCATGTAGTACATCACTCCGAGTCCCCAGGCCTTGCCTGCAAGTTAGACAGTAAAATCGTCCAGGAGATACAACGTGCAATATTGGCTTATTTTTTTCAAACGTATCCGAAATGTTTCTCGATTATATAGTTACAGTATGTTTTTCAATCAAGGAGTTCACCCCCTTTTTATTTCATTTCACAGTTGGTGTTCAGTGATAAATCGCTTGTCGGCTGGCACGACCGTTTTCTTAGTAGAAGGCTTTGGATTTTCATACTTATCACTGAACAGCTTCTACCGCATCCCCACTGGGCTAGTAACATTATCGGGCAAACGCCCCTCCCCCAGGGCACTTTTATGGAGTGCATCCATTTAACAATCGCCCATCGACGGCTAGTTGTCCTTGACCGAACTACCGTTCAATTCGAGGCGATTGCACCCTTGACAAGTCGGTCCGCGTTGAGGTGGGCAGATGAAACTAGGGGACAAGGCGATGTCAGCCTGACCATTCAGCCATTTGACTGGTGAATCACATGTAGGCAAAACAGTGATGAGAACGAATCAGCAGCGGATTTATTGTCAGTAAACCAGAGCTAATTCATGATATCCGGTGATCGCGGTTAGTGGGCGTGAGTGCAGTATATGTATATATTTTTATTGTCCCATTGATTTGTATTTCAGTCCCTATCTCGATTTCTTCTTTACATGAATTCATATATGCATCCTATCTAATCAACTCCTAAATTTTTGTTTACTTCAGTGGTTGCAGGTATTGGAAGAATAAACCGCTCGGAGAGACATACAGTGTCCAAAACTTACTTTGGATTTATGATCATTGACAGCCAAGGCATCAACAATAAACGTTTCATGCTGAGCTAAAACATGTATCTGGTGCTTCTTAAGCCCAGGATTCTACGAATCATTTTGCCAACGGCACTGACTTTATCAACTTGACCATTGATGCGAAGGTGTTACACTTGAGATTTCCTGTCTGGTGAATATTTCGAGACAGTCCGTTTGATTTCATTAAAACTTATTCTGAATTGGGATTTTATTTCTTCCGTAAAACCTCGAGTTTTTGATTGGTTCTTTGTAGTTGAATAAAATCATAGTAATGGATCACACATATATTTGGCAAACAGTGTTTACATAATGCACAAAATAGGATGCACTCCAGGGAAGTCCTGAATTGCATGCGTGTACATTCAAAGCACTTACTCGTCCTAATTCCTTTCCGCTTTCCAACGACAGAAGACCTGAGTTCTCGGCGTACAGTTTCACTTTCACTGTGGGCAGTGGTTGTGAGGTAGTAAAATCACCTTGGGTGCCCCAACTGTAAAATGGGAATTAGATTGAAGAATCACCGGCCAATAATGCAAAAGAAACCGAGTTATAGACAGTAAAATTTGTAGCGCACGAGTTGCAAGATTATCGTGCTGAACCAGTTCAATAGTCCATAGTTTGCATCAGTTTTGTATTTAGATGGTGAATTCGAACGCTGAGTGATTCTATCCCGTGATCGTTGAAAATGCGGTCACTGCTTTCTAGCAAACACTTAGCAAATGCTTTTGGAGACAAATTTGATACACGCAATGGTTGGCAGTGATGCGTTAGAAAATATCCCGATGACATGAATGTGCATTGATGTTCAAGCACCACACGCACACACAAAGAACAATTACATTTGGTGGTGAAATGTGGTCGCTTGTTTCTCTAAAATGTTCAAGAACTCATTTCCGGTCTTCGGGGTTGGAACGAAACTGATCGGCATCCGGATGAAGAATTTGAAAGTTTGATTAGCCTTAGCCACACCGGTACTCATTGAAGTTTCTGTCCTCCCCGCACCAACCGAAACACAAATACAACTTTAAAGATCTATTCACAACTTGGCTCGTGCTATGTACTAAGCGAGAAAAGTTTCATCAATCTCCTGCTATGTCGCATCCCTCGGGAATTCGAAACACTGCGTAAATTCCAAGAACTGCGACCTAGCAGGATAATCCGTAGCAAATGCTATTAAGTAGTATAAAAATCGATTAACAGTTTTGTGACAAAATAAACCGGGTCGATGGAAAATAGGTTAATCCCGTTAGCTGTTTCCAATGGTTATAATTATAAACTGTTTATTTATAACGGAATTGAGATCTACCTTCCTTTATATATCGAGAAAATTTTAATCTTTTGTGACGCCCCCCCCTAGCTTAATATCGGTACAGTGAATGCGATATTCAGCCCTTTTACAGTTCTGTGTCTACATATCCCGAAACTACCTACCTTTCGTCAGGAGAACTTTTTCTGACCCAATTATCCCATAATAATTTCCGAAATTCCTCCATTTTGTTGCAAAGTTGAGTTAACCACAGAATTGATTATATGACGTCCACCATAATATAAAACTGTTTTAGCTATAATAATCACTTCAGTATTAACCCATTCAAGGCAAACAAAGGTGAAGCAGTTCGAACACAATGAGAAGGAAATAACATCTAAAAAGAGTAAAATATCTGCTAAGGGGTGTCCTCAGAATATTAACTTCTTTACCATATTCAAACTGATTGTTCGCTGTGCAATCTATTCTTGATTTTCTAGTGAAAAATGTTTATCATAGCGTCTGTAGACACCTATTAGTTCGTTCGCCTTTGTTGTTACCAGTATGTTCAAACCGATTGAGGCATTCGTCATGACCGTTGTTGGTTGGACTACATTTAATACGTAATGTCATAAGGTGATTCACAAACCATACCTTTTTTCAATTTAAGATGTCCGTGTATCAATTTAAGATATTATGTGCTAGGTGGATAGTACGATAGTCCGATTACGCCATCGTTTCATATTCTCTTGTACTTTTTCTAATGATCTTGTTGTCATGTCCAGTCCATCCGTGTGGTGAAGGCATGCCTACTGTACAGCCGAAGTTCACTGGGTCTTCCAAAGACTAGCGGTTGTAGTAAGATGTGGTTTCTCGCTTGGGTGGGCAAGCCTGAGATCTCTTGTTGCGGTGACTTATCCGACAGACCGATTGATCAATCAACCCGATCGGTCGTGTGATTTCGGGCGGGCATAGGAGGAATGAAAACGTTCAAGCGATGATGACACTGGACCAAAGTTTGACTCGTCTAAGATACACGCACTATGTTCTTAAACGGGTTCTCGCGCCAATTCTCTCGGTTGTAAGACGGGAGTTTACTGCTGTTCAGCCAACCAAAGGCCATCGACGCCAGCCTAAAGGAATTACGGCAACTCTCAAGGCATTAACGATTCATAATGTAAAAGGGCATCTTACAAACTGATCACGACGACTTTTGGCACGTGACCCGTCTAATTTCATCGTTGCTCTAGGACAAGTGAGAATATCGTTCATTCATTCACAAATGTGCGTTCGCGCGACGATGGTTATTGATCGCTCGGATCTGACATCTCGCTTCACTCACCCGCTTACTAGTCAATCGCGAATATCACACCCGTTTGCAAGTTAGAGCCCATCAATAGACTGAATGACCGTGGCTTTGGTGACCACTGTAGCCAAATGGCCACATTCGAGTGTCCCACAGTTCAGTTTAGTGCCCAAAGAATTGAAAGAACTTCGCAGATTACAAAGATGTATTTTTATCAAAATCATAAATCGTCGTTTGTCTCAGCTTGACTCTCCTGTATAAATCAATTATACACTCCAATAATCGACACGAACTCCGAGCATTAACCAAGGCGAACAACTTCAATTGATCCGATAACTTCTGCGCCTCTCTGTTTGAGATAAATTCCGGTGCATTCACTGCCTCACATTCATCTTCTTCGCGATGCTTAGCTTGCTTCAAAACAAATTCATCTAATAACTAAAAAGAGACTTCACAAAAAGAATTTGAATAACCCATTTCTTCATCATCAAATTCCAAACAGGTGATTTTTTCTTCATTAGACACATAATTAGTAAATTCCTCGATCACATCGCATTTATCCTCTGGTAGCTGCATCACCGGCTGCATCAATATGGATTTGAACTCAGCTTTCATGAAAGCGTTGATCAGTACGTGCGGGTACCCAAGCTTTCTAGACTAGATGCATGGCCAGGAGAATATCCATCTCGGCTTTCATGATAAGTTGTTCATCTGCGATCAATGACAACATATTCCAGTGCATTTTTCCGAAACAAACATTCAAAAGACCAAATCACGACCTGATCCATTGGTTGTGACATTAAAGAACAGTTCGGAGGCAGCCGTATCAATTTGACGCTGGAGAATACTGCGGCTTGGTTGGGACAAGAGGCGTTGTCCATAAATGGTAAAATAGAGCGCCTTGGAGAAACCATTTTGCGGTTGACATCGGACAGCCAACTGTGAAATAACGTAGAAGTCATTCATGCTTTCTTTGAAGAATTATAGCTGCATGGAAGGCTTTTCTACCTATATCTCGGAGGTATATTGGAGTTTGAAACTTTTCAATCACCAACGGTGATAACTTTTCGCCAGTCATGCTCCCACAAAGCAATAACGTGACCCTCTCATTGGATTTCTTGGATCCAGAAACTTTCTTTTCAGACTTAATGTTCTTTCTGGGAGCTGACAGTAATACAAAGCTGTTCCATCTACATTGAAAACATCAGTCAGCATATCCATGTATCAACTGCGATAACCCCGATGGAAACTCATCCACTGCACCACGTGGTACCGCTAAACCTTCCACACAGACCTATAAAGTAATACACATGAGTTACTTGTTTCTTACTTCGCACGATTGAATACCATATCTGTCTGACCAAGAGCGAAACCAACCTTTGGAAGCCTCGAAGTCACGATGATGCATTCTTTCTGCTAACTGGATTGCCTTCTTACATACGATGCTCTCCACTATTGGGAACTCTGCGTGCTTTTCCTTCATAGCAGTAAACTAAGTCGTAGTTGCCTCATTCACTACCTTGAACTTTTCGTTGGTTTTCAGGTGGCAGCTTCCCTCAGATGCTCCAGCGTTCAAAAATTCTCCTATAGTCGTTCGATGGGGTACAACATTGTAAACAGATGTTCGTGAAATTCCAAGTGATTTGGCTACGGAGCTCTCAGTTGCACCTGGCTGATTCAGCATTTGTAACACATTTTGCTTCTCTCTGATCGATAGGCGCTTGAACATTTTGACGTCAAATGATAGTCTCCGATGACTTGCATCGGTGTTTTCCTCGCAAGGATTATCCAATCAGCGAACAGTACCATGAACGCGTTACGCTAGGTGCAACGCCATTGATTGAGTGCGACATTTCAGAGTGGATGATCAACGGTCGTCCCGAACATCGGTCAACGACCAAAAGAGTACGTATCAGAAACTGCGACATATTGAGGGATGCGACATGGCATCGTCAGAAACTACGTTATTAAGCAAACGGTTGGTTTGGGTTTTCGAAAAAGTGGGAAGATATTGGAAAATTTTGACTTCTCAAGGGTGCGACATAGCAGGAGATCAACTGTACTAAGTGACAAAAGTTTCGTAGGTTTTGACATCACTTCTGGTTGAGGCACGATAATCGTTACCGGGTCACAATATAACAGTATAGTAAGGAGTTTAAATAGGACTAATATATTTCTTACACTTTTTAGAAAAGAAAACGAGTTCTAAGCTAAGATAACATCTATAAAAGGAGTATCTTATCCCACCCAGCTCCGCTCGGATTCAATTTAAATACAGCAGGTTATCATTGAGTAGGGAAGCTTTTCTACTTTAAAACAGTCACGCACCTCAGAGTATGCCCTATAAAACACGATTATGCAGCAGATTCCTGACAGAAAATCATTCTCATCTCAGAGCATCTGCAGATTTACCGTTTGATGCATAAACACTTTCATTGGAAGTATGCCCATATGAAGATCCCTGTTGAAGTGCACGTCGTTCTTACTTTACATTTGTCAACTTCAACCTCTTCCGTCTCAGTGTGCCCACCTTACATTGCTTCTTCATCCCTCTGTGATTCCTCGTTAGCCGATTTAATGAGGTGGTTTCTTGCTCGAACGTTTCGAATCCACGACCATCCTATATAGGACTAAATCTTCCCCCGCTTGAGTGGCTTATACAACCTGTGTTGCTGTGTCGGTAAGAAGCGCATTCGTACCGAACCCAATTGGTCGTTTCCGTTCGTGTTCTCTTTGGATCGTGTGCGTATACCTATTGGCAGGATCGGGATTTGTCTTACTTTTACAGATAATCGGTGTCCACCACATAGCTTTTAGACCAGAATTCCCTCAAATGTTCAGCACTGAGTTAGGATATGGACCAAACAGAATGGTGACATTGCTTCCCTGGCGGGCTGAGAATCTATTTTTAACATCAGGAAACCTCATCATCATTAAT